AATTTCACTAATTAATAATCTTCGGGTTTAATGGACTGGGAAAGATCACAAATCACTTATTTTTTAAAATCGGAATTACCCCAATAACTGCAATCAAATCTCTGTCCCCAGATTTCGCTGGGCCGACTTCAGGGGACAAAAATTACTTGGGGGGCTAAATTGGGATTCTTGACTATGGGGGTCGGGGAGGGATTTATTCCAATTTGAGGGTTTTTCAGAGCACACTTCTAGCTTCCCCGACAACTTCGTTCCAGTGGGGAAAATTAGTCTAACAAAATATCCCCAAATGATGAACAAAATTTAAAAACACCATTGTTAAAAGAGAGGCATATATAGGCAAATAAAAGGGGGGAGGGGCATTAAAAAATCAATGTATAAAATTTAGCGAAGAAATAAAAAAAGGAATAAAAAAAAGAAAAAAGGGATTATGGGGGTAAGGTTCAAGAGATTCAAAGTTTAACCCCAAAAGGACTTTCAGGAAAATAAAGTAAGATTGGGGAAAAATTTGGCCCCACTTAAAGTAATCGGTCAATCACTAACATGATAAGGATGTGTGAAATTCTAAATACCTATTTCCTCTCATTTTTAAAACCCGGGAAAAACTACGATTTCCTGAAATAGATTTTTTTAGAACGGGATGATAAAAACTATGTACATTGCAGAACTATGCAGGTCCCAGAAAATAAGAAACAAAAACCTAACAACCCCCAGGCCCTGATAAACTGTTTGCAAGGGTTTAAAAGGGAATGTAAAGAGAACTTAGCAAACCTTTGGCAAATTTTTTTTTAACAATCACACAAAGGGGCATAGGCCTGATAAGTGGAAAATGCAAATGTAAACCTATTTACAAGGCAGGTGACAGGCCCTTTGGTTTCGAACTATGCCCAAATAAGCCTTACCCCATAGTGGAAAATTTATGGGAAACAATAATTGCCAAAACAATTTGTAGCCATCTGACAGCCCCCAATTATTAATGAATCTCAACACAGTTTTACAAAGGGGGGTTCCTGTCTTTTTAAAGAATTTTCTAACTTTTTTTTCCCAAGGTTTTGAGGGGGTAGAATAGGTAAAATGATTTGTTAAACTTATAAGACTTTCGTTTGATTCCACCAAAGCTATTTAAAACTTAAGGGGGGCCCCGGAAAAAGGAGAAATTTTTTCCTGGGGAAGGCATGGCAAAAATAATAGCAAAAGTTTGCATAAATGGGGAAAAATCAAATGGGGGCACGTCACGCGGTGTTCCTC